CTTTCTTTCCAGATTCATGCACATTCGAAATCGGTAAATCGTTGTTTTATCTTCTCAAATCAGATTTCGGTAAGTCAAATGATGTTTCGATTTCACGCATATTAACGGCATGTTCTTGATGAATATAATATGCACATTATCGGTGTAAAATCTCCTACAGTTCTTTCTTTGTTCAAATTTCCCTTTGAACTTGTTTATGTAACTTTTTTACTAATTACAATAATAATGAGTATGGCTGGACATGGTCTAGACCCGAATTTTTGGGTATTTAATAAGTGGAACCATCAGGTCCAAATTTAATTATGTAACCGTTCAGGTTCGGTTCGGTTCCCGATTTCTGTACAATAATTAAGTTTTTTTAATATGTATAACAACGCTACATTAATTCAACTAATGACATGTTCAATTTTAACTCTTACAAAATAACGTAATCCAATTCCGTGATATCTTTTGCGTCTGTCTTTGTTTAGTTCTTCATAGATTTGGCAATTAAAATTACAGAAAGAGAAAGATAACAAGTTCACAATAATAAAGAGAGATGCAGCCAAGCTTCCAATTCGATTTCTCTATAACGACACTACGATAGAATATGAGATTTAAGTAAAATTTAGATCAATTTGATTAAGTTGGGCTTGTGCTTTAAATTAGAAATAGATTTCAAATGTAAGATTAAGTATCACTCATTTCAAAACTAAGATACAAGTTTAAAATTTCAAAAATCAGATATTAATTGAATTTTATTTATGAAATTATTAATTAAAAATATATTTTATAAATTAAATATATTAATGTCACAAATTATTTTTCTGTCACGAATAAATATTTTTATAGGTTACAATTATTTCATGATCACAAATAAAAAATTTCATCGATCATACTTTGGTCATCGGTCACAAATCAAAAAAAATCATAGGTCACAATTTATGTATTTATCACAAATCACAAATTTTATAAGAAACAATTTATTACACGTCCAAAAATTATCAAATTATTGGTCACAAATTAACAAATTTTTAGGTCACATAGTATTTATTGGTCACAATCAACCAAATAATTTTTGACTACCACCAACACTTGTGACCATCACCTTACCATTACCTCTAGTCGCACTGTCGCCAACACTTCCGCAACTACTTCACAGCAACACCACCTTCGCCGCGCCACCGCTGGCACTATCTCCAACAAACTATCATTTTCAACTACAAAACCACCACCAGTGTCGTGCCAACACCAACACCACCATCACCGTCATTGCCATCCGCACCGCCACTACCATCTTACCACCAACGTCACAGCTAGCAAAAGCAGCACAACCATCTCCACCAAAAAATCACACCCAACCACCACATCCACCTCCATCACACCCCAACCACCACACCCACTAAAAAAAAAAATCCCTAAACCTGATGTCGTCGCCGCCACCACTAAATCACTACCACCACCTCAGTCATAAATCACTATTTTCAATTACAAAATCACTACTGTCACTGCTAGATCCAACAAAAACAACCCCCAATCGTTGATCTACCACGCCGTTACCACCGTCGCTGCCAACAACACCAACACCACTACTATCGCTGCCACCACCACCACCAAAGCCAAAAATCGAAACAATAGGCAAACCAAAAACAATGATA